TCCATGGTGCTGAAACAACAACACTCCGCTCCACTCGGTCGACTCACAGGATGAAGCAGCCATTAGTCCTGACATGTGCTCTGTCCACAACATCTCTACAAACAAGCCTGACTGTCACTGGGAAATTCAGTTGCCCTCACCGGGAGCTGCTGAGAGAGGGGCCAGAGCGTTGGGACAGAGCGGCAGCACAGAGCAGACGTGAACAGGTGACTGGTGTCACACTCCATCACCCATCCCATTAGTCAGGCCTAAAACAGAGCAACTGGCTTTGGTAAAAAACCTGGCTGAAGGGCACCACTGCAGAAACCCTGCATCAGACATCACAGCAGCAGTGAGGCTGAAAGTCTCTGCCCGGGCCGGTCTATCAACAGAGACGATCACTACGAGGATGAAGAAGAAACAACTGCAACGATTAAAGACTATTTCAAACAGAAAAGTCTCTCGGTGAAGATCAATCAGTATAATTCTATGTGTGGTTCAAAACCACCATTTACAAACAAAAGGATGAAGTTGAATCCTCCAGGCCCACGTCGTGACTCACCCTGCGTAGTGTTTCTGTGTGGCAACAAAGTGATGAAGTGAGTAGGCAGCGTGTCCTTCAGCAGGAAAAGAAAGTGCCTTTAAGAAACATCCCAAATCCCCAGTGCCTGCAGGGCTGCAGTGTTTTCACCGCCCTGTCCGCCCTGCAGCGAAACTAAAGAAAGAGAACAGACTTCCCCTCAAGGATCAATACAGAATTAAATATCATGATGATTTCATCAAATGTGTCTTAAACATGGATTTAAAATTATGTTTTTTTACAGTTATTTTTTAAAATCCATAGGGATGAATTTACGAGTGAGGAGAGAAGAAGCTGAATTAATCACCGTGACGATCACATGCTGTCGTCTGATTGGTCAGTTTACAGTCACATGAGGTAAATTAAGCTAAATAATTTTTCATTTTTAATAATTTTTCATCTCATTATTTCTCAATTAGCTGATCTAAGGTTTTTATCTTTATTTTATCTTTTTATCTTCACGTCTCATTAGTCATGAAGAAATAAAGCTGTCAGTGTCTCTTGCCCTCGCAGTTCTGCAGAGACGATCAGACGTTACCGAAGTTAACGAGCGAGTCACGGAAAAGTTGTTAGTGCACGTTCATGTTATTTGGGGGCGGAGCTTTGGTGAGAGGGCAGATGAGGGGGTGTGACCAGCTCTTGTTTTTTCAGGTTTAAAAACTCGAGTTTTCAGAGATTATGTTTTAGTCATTTAGTTATTTAATAAATATTAAGAAGTCAGAATAGATTCTGTTAAACTGTGAGGAGCAGTTTTTCTGTCCAGACTTTACAAACTCAAAAACTATGAGAAGATATTTCCAGAACAAAAGATACTTGAGTATTTTAGTAGCAGCTCTATTTCTGATTTTGCAGTAAATTACAGTTAAATGTATTTACTGTGTTTTAATGCAGCTGATAAAGTGATAAAGTGATTATTGCTCTTTTTCTATTCACAGGAACTCTCCTCAGTCACAACAGTTTGAAATTCATTTTAAAGGAGGGGGAGAGAGACGAGTAGGAGTGTGTTGATCATAAATACACTTTTATACAATCAGAGGCTTTTATTCCTCCTGATTCCACACACACACACACACACACACACTTAAGAGAGACTCTCAGAGTGCAGAAGCTATTAGCAATCAGAGGCGTGTGTTTAGCAGCCTCCCTCAAGACACTCTGGGCTTCTCAATACTGGAGCGATTATGTTTTGTAAAAGCTGCGCTGCTGAAACTGAAAGCACTGCAGAGCTACAGAAAAACAACTTCTGCTGACGGAGTTCCACACCTGAAGACCACCACAGAGCCTCGGCCTCCTCAGATCAGAGTGAGCTGCTTCTGACGGGAGGTTTCTGAGGTGCAGATCAGAGGAGGGAGCTTTTTTTAGACCTCAGTTTAAAGCCATAACTTGTGTTTTTGCTTGCCAAGAGAACGCACTTTGTTCTGCGTGCTTCCCTTTCAGTCGACACATCGCCATCTCGTGTACTAACAAAACTACAAACGACGCATCCACTCAATTTGCTTCCTCTCTTCCTCACCCTCTGCTTTGACTGCAGTTTCTCTTTCTGTATGAAGGGTTCAGCTGAGACCCTTGGTGAAACGGACTCTCCTCCAGGTTTACCTGCTCCTGCAGCTCCCAGTCTGTGTCCTCCAGCTCCTGGACCCGCTAGTTTAGTGGAATCCTCGAGGAAGGAAGGAACGCTGAGCTTCCAAACACGTCCTGGTTCGTCGTCGTCCGTCTGTTTTGTGCCCGTGCAGTTAGAGTGTGCTGCTGGATGAGCAGCCAGGAACCCACTGAGAAATTTGAAATGGATAATCTGCCCTGGGAATCCAGCCAGCTCTTCCAGTAAAATCACCCCCTCCACCACCACCACTGATAACATGCCCTGCCTTTGCTGGGCTGTGATGTCATCCTCTCCCCGCCCTCCACACAGCGGTCATCACAAGATTCAAGTCAGGACAAGTCTCTTCCTCCACCTCTGTCTCTCTCTCTCTCTCTCTCTCTCTCTCTCTCTCTCTCTCTCTTGTTCCATCTCATGTCTTATTTGATGTGTATTGACTTTCATGTTCCCTCTTCTCATTCTCAGTCTTTACATCCACATTATTGAAAATATGCTCATCAACCAGAGTCACAAAGAAATAAACATAACTGTGAAGCTGCAGTTTCCTTCTTAACATCACATCACCTGAAAGTAGTTTTTCCTTGTCAGTCAATCATTTCTTACATTTGATATTTATGGAAACATATAACACATTAAAGTTTCTATCATTGATGATGGAAGATAAAGAAAGCAGAAGACTTGTCCTTTTAAAATGAAGATCCAGACATTTGTGGCATTTTACAAGAAAAAAAAACTTGACAAAGACAAACTTCCCGATAGACTAATGCAATAATCTGTAGTTTGAGCTTTATATATACTTACTTTATATATACTTACTTTATATATACTTAATAAACAGAATAAAAACATGCAGAGGCAAATATCGCAAAAAGTAATTAATAGAAAATATAAATTACTGATCTCCGAACTATCACATCTCAAACATTTCAGCTTGACTTGAGGAGCAACACACGTTTCACTTGGAATATTCAGGTCAGGGAAAATATCATATAGCTTCAAATAGATTCTTATGATTCTGAGGATCAGACCTGAGGAGGCAGATCACCGTGCAGCCACAACAGTTAATCCAGGAGTCTACCTTCTACAGAGACGGGCATTTAAAGCAGCTGATGTGAAACTGAGCAGCTGTGGACTGCATTTCCTGAATCTTTGCTCCACAGAGGGAAAGTGCAACACGCTCATTCAAAATGACTAAATGATTTGAAAAGATTTTCATCACAAGATTACAGCAGTTGAAAATGAAAAACTGGAATGCAGGATTTATGATGGAAGCAAATGTTGCCTGTTAAATAAATGTGTGACTTGATTTCAGTGTCAGATTTTAACATCATCTTTCTAAAAAAAGATCCTGGTTCCTGTGATTCTCTGTAGCAACAGAGACAAGAGAGAAGAAGAGCTTTTTTCATCTGGTCCGAGCTGCAGAGACTGAAAAACGCTGCAGTGGAGATTTGTGGAATTCAACGAATGTGTTTTGAAAAGTGCAGGAGGGCAAGAGAAGAGCAATGAGGAGTAAAGCAGCAGAGGTCACGAGATGAGCTGACGACATGTGAGCTTTCTGTTTGATGGCTCTGACGACAATAACAAAGAAACACGTCAGCATCCTCTCTCTGGTGTCCCTCTGTGGTGGATTTTATTTTTTTATCCACGGATGGAAACAAGATGCAAAGCCCCCGAGAGCCGCACCTTTTGGTTGCCATGGAAACCAACTGGAGGACAAGCCAGTAGCCGCTCATGCTGAATAATAATCATAATAATAATGGAGAAAGATCTGCGGTTTGCAGTGATCTCCACCATGTGAGAAACAATCTGCCTCTACTCAGCGTCTCCCACAATCCTCCTCTCAGCTCTAATTGGATAACTCCTGCTCCCACAATCCCCCTTTTTCGCACCTTTCACCTTTTCACGTACTGCTCCTTTAACACAGTCCAAGTCAGAACAAGCCTCCCCCTCTCGCCCTCTTTCTTGCTTTATATATTATATATATGTTTTGGTTTCACGTTTCAGCCTCAGGACTGAAACTAGAACGCTCATTCAACACAGTCACAAAGACACAAACTGAGAAACTGCAGGTTCCATCATCTGAGCATCATAAACTCCAACATCACATCACCTGAAACAAACTGCTGCCTCCTCATTAATGATTCTGTCTGAAACTTGTGGTTATTGACTGAGACATATTTAAATCTGACATTGTCTGATTAACATTCATAGATAAGTTCAATTTCAAATCACTGATCCTGAGGAAAAGCACAAATCTGCTCTGTGGGTTTTTCTTTTACTCAAAATATAACTTGACGATGAAGATTCGTGGATTTTAAACATTGTCGTCACACACTGCTGCACCTCTCGGTTGCCATAGCAGCCACCTGAATGACAGCAGATGCTTATGCTGCATCATAATAATGCATTTGCAGAGATCTCTGATTAATTCCACCATGATTTGAGAAACAATGAGACAATAAGGATCACTCCTGCTCAGACTGGAGGAAGCCTCTGCTCCTCTATTCCCACAATTCCCCTGTTTCTCACCTTCCCTTCTGCCTTTCACTGATCTACGTACTGCACCTTTAAACTGCTCAGCTGACCAGGGGAGCAAATATCACAGCTGAACTTTAAATAAAGGAAAATACCAAGACATTTACATCACGACATTTAAATCACGACTGATTCCCCTGAGTTGCTGCGGGTGAGGAGGATACCTCCTGTTTCTTTTCTGTCTGTAGAAGAACAGTGACATCATGTTCATCCGACACTAAAAGCGTTTAAATGAGGACAATGAGGAAAACAAGAGGAAAACCAGGTGTCAGATTATTCTGGGATGCTAGCGGCGGAATGTGGCCTCACCTGAGCTGAAATGGGAGCTGAGGGCAGATCCGGGGCTGAGAGCGACTGAAGACATCACCAGGAGCAGCAACATCTTCCACACAGGCAGAAAAACCGCAGGACGAGGAGGACGATCTACGCGACGCTATATCTGGAGCACAGCGTCATTTCTCCTCCGTGTCTCAACGTGCGCCTTCATGCCTCTGTACTCCGGTGAGGTTCGGCTCACACACACTCATCCTCCGGGGTCCGGTCACTCCGGGGCCTTGTCTTAATTCTACTCCTCGGGATGTGGAGATCGTGGCTGCGGGAGACGAAGATGAGGAGGAGGAGGAGGAGGAGGGGGAGGAGGCTGGACCTGATCCAGAATCCCACGGCGCACGGTTTTACGCACACACCTGGAGACGCGGTCACATCATCCCGGGAGCTGAGACCCGCTGGCATCGGACATGTGACACCTCCGGCACGTGAGTGGACACATCAAACGCTCCGTTCTGCGCGGGGAGCTGTCCGAGGTGCTGACAGCAACAGCGCCATCTTGCTCGCTAATGAGTCCAAACAGAAATGTATGGAGCTCAGTCTGCAGGAGGAGGAGGAGCAGGAGCAGGAGCAGGAGGAGGAGGCTCTGGATAGGCTGAGCTGGGCTGACTGAAATATTCAGGATGGAGCTGGAGAGGGAGAAGCAAGAATCTATTCCTGCAGCCGAATAGGAAAGAAACATCTATTTGAAAGGTTGTTGAAAGGAGGAAATCTGTCGGTGTGTGTGTGAACCTGCAGCTTCTCCTCCCTCAGATCAGAGGAGACGTGTAAAACTCTCCTCCCACACACACTGTGATGTAACACCAGGGGAAACACAGTGACTTAGCTCCTCTCTGGACTATCCTCTCTAATCCTACTGTTCATACATGTATGGCGAGGCCCCCTCCCCCACCGGCAACATTCATCCTCTCCCCCCTCCTCCCTTTATTCCTCCCTCCTCCTCTCCTCCCATCACACCGGATTCCTGGCGGCAGTGGGACTCAACTTTTCCTTGTGTATCTACAGTGATTGTAATTCTTCACCCACGCAGAGACGAAAATGTCACAGACTGAGCTGCCAGGAAAGAACAAAAGATCTGTCGAAGCACAAATGCACCGTTCTTACCGTGCACCCTGCTCTGTGAGGCATGGAGGAGTTATGTAATGTGTCATGTATTATTAACCGTCAGTGATTTTATTAAGCCTCCATTCTGACAGCGTATCTTCGTGTGGCTGTACATGTAGAGCCGTGGTTCAAAGTCACAATGTGACGAAAGTACATCAGCAAATGTTTCGGCTGAAAAATCATGACAGAGATGAATCTCTGCAAGTAAAAAAAAACAAAAATGCTCTTATATATTCATGTGTTCACGTCCCTGCATGTCAGATCAACCAGCTGACTGTGACTTCCTTCATAAATCTAACGGGTAAAGACCCAACAGTCTCTTTATGAAACCACAATCCAGATCTGGATTCACTCTGATCTGCACCAAATTACAAACACTCAGAAAGATCAGTCCTCTAAATATGTCAGATGTTTACATCAAGATCCATGAATTGAGAAATCAACACAAACGTCAAAAAAGAATAAGAAGTTCCTGGAAAAAGGATTCTCTCCTGAACCCAAGTCACATCATTCCATCAAGTTTCATGGTAATCACTTCAGTATCAGACAAACCCACAGGAACATGATTCCCTTTACAGAAGAACTAACTCACTTCTTAATTATTAAATTATACGGAAAGTATTTTAATCTGCATCGTGATTAATCTCAAGCAGTTTTTCTTATCTTGATTTTAAAGTAGCTCATGTCTGTTGCAGTGAAAAAAACATAAAATGAGGACGTTCAAGCAAAGTGCAGGTTCTGTTCCTCTGAACTAAACCAAAGATATCTAGTGTAAAGACTCAGTTACTCTCCAGCATTGTGTCAAGCAGCATTTAAAGAAAACTTGGTCTGATCATCCTGATAATTAATAGTGGTTTAGTAGTTTGCCTAGTTCTGGGCACCGACACACAGAAGTGGGTTCGGTACATTTCCTTTTCAGCCACACTTCCAGGTTTCTTCTTCAGTGGTGAAGTGACGTGATGGGCGTGACCCACCTCCGACTCTCCTCCTCCAGAGTGAGATCCAGCTTCAGGTCCAGTCCTGTGAGCTCCTGCAGGAGTCAGGTAACTTCCATCCAGCTCGTCTCCTGAAGGCTGAACTGCAGCTCGAGGTCTTTACCACCTAAGAAAACAGTAAAGGTAAATAACCACTGTCCTCATCCGGTATCAGAGACTCCATCAAGAGTCATTGTTCTGTGTGTATTCACACAGGATCACACGGGACTGGATCCTTCAGGTTCACAGTGAGGAGTTACATTCTGAACTAGTTATCAATCTATCACAGGTCTGACACAGAAAACTATTTTATCAGTGTGTTTGGACTGTCGGAGGAAACTGGAGCAGCCAGAAGAAACCGACGTAAAGCATGTGACACAGATAAAGACCCAGATAAAGATCTGTTGCTCAGGTTTAAACCAAAGAAAGATTTAAATAAATGGTTCATAAATCCAAGGACAACAGCTTCATTTGTCCACTGAGACATTTAATGTTGCTTCAGTATTTATCATATAAAACCTGGGACCTGTTCTACACACTTTGAAGAATAAGAACTGAGAGGAGGAAGATGGTGGAAGCACTGTTACATACAAGTGTCTATTTTTGCACGTCTGATGTCTCTGACAGGAATATTCCTCCTAAATATTTCTCCTCCTCCTCCTCCTCCTCCTCCTCCTCCTCTCTTTTCTCAGTCTCATCACAACATATTCTGCTCTCTGATACACTGTGTTGCATGTCTGCCGTTTCCCTGGCAACAGAAAGGAGGCGGTAAGAAGGTTTCTGGAGCGAAACGCCAGTCGAGGGAATCGTTGTCCTGTCTCATCTCACACCAGACGTGATGAGCTTCGGGTTGAATACAGTTAATTAATGTGCTTTTATATTTGTAACCTTCTGATTAGGATCAGATCAGGCTGAAGGTTTTTCTCCATTTTGTGGTGAAGAAAATAGAAGTCAGCCTTCAGCCCTGACACCCTGTCCATCTTCAGGCTCTAACAGCTCCCTCTAGAGCCCGGGTCACTCTGCACCCGAGCAGCTGCACACGCTGACTTCTCTGGTTTCACTTAGAGGCTTTAAAAAAAAAAACTCCTTATTATAGAACAGCAGGTCTCAAACTGCACGCATCGTCAGAGCCCGGACTTTAACTGAGGTACGGCTTCTTCTCCAGAGCTGTCAGAGCCATCACCCCCTGCAGCCTCTCACACACACCTCACCACCCCTCAGTCATTCACACAGACACCTCCACCTGCAGCAACACGCACACACACTC